ACTACATAGTCAGACCTTGTCCCAGAAAAGAATGGACAAAAGAGGAAAAAACAAAATCAATCATTAGATAATTTTCTCTTTCAGTAAATGGTATTTGAAAACTTAAATCCAAGAAAAGTCTTTCCTTACCAATTTTAAATGTTTCTTCTCTAATATGACACCATCTTAATATAACAATCCCACAGATGGGAAGGCTTCTAGACCTAAAAGGAGTTACTGAGTCACCAGATAATTTTAGCAAAAGGAACAAGAATCAATTTTTAAACATATGTTAAAATTTTTTCTGTAATTCATCTCCCATACTGATGGCAGAAACAGAAACACTGAACATTTTAAAAATTTGCTTACTAATATTGTTTCCTTTTCAGTCTGATGAGAACTAAAAAGAGTTAAAATTTTAAATTATGCTTAAAAATCTTTCAAAAAAGAACAAAAGTAACATGTGGAAAGAACCTTGACTGAGGCTCTTAGAAGTCTTAGATACATATCTTATTCATCCCATAAATATAGCTTTGGATATCAGTTGCTTTGTCCATAAATGAGAATACTATTCAGGGTCATTGGATCACTGTGAAAGTTACATAAGACAGAAAAATCCAGTGAGTAGTTGAGTGACAGTCACAGTAAGATCTCAATTAATGAAAAATACTGTTTTATAGCATTAATATAAAAACAAGAATGTTTCATTAAGTTACAAGAAGGTGAGATTAATAGTGCTGCAAGTGTCCTAAGACACAAAAAAGTTGTTCACATTCTTCACACACTACCTCTCCTTTCTCACTTCTCACCTATCCACCCATCCACATATAAACACAAAGACTGACATACCCAAATAAGGAGAAAAACTAAAAAGATTATCATCAGAAATTTCCTGCTCTCCTCAGTTTCCATATATGTAATTCTGGGGGGGCATAGAATATATTGACAATTTAGATTAGTTTTAGTTTGTAAGTCTAACAAAAAGAGTCTAGAATGATCTTTGAACTACATCTCAGGCATGTTTTTGACTAGTTTACTCTATCAAGCCATTGTTTTAGCCTATTTAAAAAGTACTAGAACAACATACTATATTGGAATGCACACAAGCCTTGCACAGAATTAAAATTCATTGATTTCCATAAAAATAATATTCTACACATAATCAACAAAGTAACATTCTTATTAACTCATGTAGTTTTTAAAACCAAGGCTGTGTACCATTAAAACTAAACGGAAATAGCATAATCAGGGAATTTTATTTATGTTCACTAAATCAATTAAAAGTAATGCTTTTACATATACATTTCTACTAAGAACATTGTACAGGTTAAATTTGTTTTACTGCCTCTTACTCTATAAACATTTTTTTCACTTCCTAAACTTGCAGTAATGCTTATAAACTGGTTAAACTAATGAAGCATTCTCCTCTTGAAGCTGATCTTTCACCTAAATAACCAATGTTCCCAATACTAGCAAGGTAGAGGTAGAAGAATTTTGAGTTCAAGGCCAGGCTGAGCTACCTAATCAGTCAATGCCGGCCTAGATTATATAGCAAGTTAAGAATAATCTGGAACTACACAGAAAAATTTTCTTTCAGAAAACCAAAAAAATTAGTAAATGCTGAGCAGATTTCATGAATTAGTGTTTTTAAATTCTTCCTGTATTCCACAGAGGGTTAGGAATCTCTTTCAAATTTAATCATTAAAACATGGAGGACTTACTGTGTACTGGGAACTATTCCAAGCACAGAGCACAGTTGATGTCACAACACATAATAAGAGATTCTATTATTGGTGTCAATTTACACTTGAGTAAAATGAGATTCAGAGCTGAAGGACTTTCAGTAAGACAAAGCTAGTCACTGGTAAGATTCATATACTCTTATTCAGAATCCAAGTTTTAGCTGATGAATGTATGCTAAATTTTTACTCTTGCTGAGACCCAGGTATACTTTCTCCTAAGATGACACCAGAAAGGAATCTCTATCCTTGCCTGCTTTTTTTTTTTTCTATAAATACTCATTAGGGTTAATCAGGACACAATGAAATCTAAAAACTTTTTTTTGTCTTCTTTGAGACATGGTTTCACTATGCAGCTCAGGCTGGCCTCAAACTCATAACAGTCCTCTTGCCTCAGCCTCCTGAGTGCTGGATTACAGGCATGTAATCTCAATTTTGGCTGCTATGAAAAAGTAGATTCAAATAAATCTACATAGCGTACATATAACACCAATTTTGTATAATGGAAAATCAAAGTTGCATGTAAATAAATTCAATAAATAGTGAAAAGTATTATATTCTAGTTGCTTGGGATAAGTCAGTGAAGCAAATAGACTAACAACCTTGCCTTAGCAAAGGATTATACTTTGATTTTTTTTTGGTACTAGGGATTGAACTCATGACATTATGCTTGCCAGGGAGGCACTTATGCCACTGAGGGATATCCCTAGAGAGGATTACACATTGAAAACAGATAATAATAAGTATATTATATGTTATACAATGAAAAAAGTGAATGCTGGCTAAAAAGTGTATATTACTTAGGAGTACAGGGTATTGGCAGTACTAGTAGAAGAGTGGGCCAATTATAGTATTAAGCAGATCAGCAAGAATGACTTAAGAAGTAAATTGAAAGCTGGGCATGGTGGCATATATACTCCTAGCACTCAGGATGCTGAGGCAGGAGGACCCCAAATTGGAGACCAGCCTGGGCTACATACCAAGTTTAAGGCTGGCTTTGACTACAAGTAGAAGACCCTATCTCAAAACAAAAACAAAAGATCATATAAATCAAAGAAAGTGAGTGTGAACAAGTAGAATCTAGTGAGGAATATTCCAGGCAAAAGGAATAGTTAGTAACAGTGCCTAAAAATGTAATTAGAGCAGAGTGAGCAGTGAAGAGGAAGCGGAAGAAAAGAATTTGTTTACAGTATAATGGGCAGCAGATCTGGTAAGTCACCTCAGAATTTTGGCTTTTAATGAATAAAAATGATTTTGGGCTGAAAAACAAAGTGATCTGATCTGAAGCTCCTATATTGTGAATAGTACAAAAGAGGACCAACATAAACTGGGTGCAGGGGCACACATCTGTAAACTCAGCACACTAGGAGGCTGAGGCAGAAAGACTGCACATTAAGGCTCACCCTAGATAACTTAATAATTTAAAGCCTACTTTAAAAAAAAAAAAAGCGGGGGATGTAGTTCATTGCAAAGGCCCTGGGTTCAAACCCTGGTACCACAAAGGGGGGCTGGCAGAGATAGAAATAGAGATATGAGACTATTAGAAGAGCCTAGGCAAAAACGGGAATTTAGATGAGGACTAACATAATCTAGATAGTATGAGGTAGTCAACTTTGGATACGATCTGAAAGTAAACAGGATTTCCTGATAGACTGGATATAGAGTGTAAAAAATTAAAGAGCAAATTCTTGAACTAAGCAACTAGTAGAGGATGTCCATGAATTAAGACGTTAAAGCAGGGAAATGAGGCCTTTAGTGTACAGAGATCATGGATACTGTCTTAAACATGTTAAATTTGAGATGTCCTGAAAGCAAAATGAGGGAGGAATATTGAAGAAGAAAGGAATCATATATATCAAATACTGCATGCAGATAAGTGAAATAAAATGAGAAGTCAGTTTAGCAATTAAAGTCACCAGATACCTTGATTCCTTCCTAGGACTTTTCCTCAAAGGAAAAATGGAGGACAGAGGGTTTGGGCCTTTGTTCAGTAGTAGAGCATTTGCTTAGCATGTATAAAAGCCCTAGGTTCCACCATCAACATGGCAAAAAGATGTGTGTGCTGGGGGTAGAAGTGGTGGGACAACTGAGAACCAACAAAAGCTAAAAAACTTACCAGATTTTTCAACTCCTAACCACCACAGGAAAGACAGTGTAACTTAACTGTCACTTTGACAGAGTTAACTGCAGATTAAAAAAAAACTTTTCGGAAAAAATAACAATCCTGAGTCTCTATAATATATCTCTTAAAATTATGTAAATTTACAAGGTATACACAGAAACAGGAAAATGTTACCAGTCAAAGGTTTCTTACATAGCAATAGTATAACGATGCTTGAAGATATAAAAAACAAAACAAGCCCTCATAAAAGAACAAATAGGAAATCTCAAGAGAAAACAAAGTATTTCTAAAAAAGAAAAGAACTTCATGGACATTCTGCAAAAGAAAATTACAAGACCTAAAACTTTTTGAAAAATTTATTCAGTGGTTATAATAGCAGATTAGAGATGACAAAATAGTCAGTGATCTTTAAGACATATTAATAAAAATAATCCAATCTAGGAAGAAACATTTAAAAAGACAGATAGTCAGATTTGTGGGAAAGTTAAAATATCTAAAATATGTGTAACTGAAATACTAGAAGAAAAGAAAAGAGAAGGGGACTGGAGAAAAGGTTGAAGAAATAAGGTGCTAAGTTTTCCCCAAATTTGGTTTTAAAAATGTAGAAATTCAAGAAGCCCAGAAAATCCAAGCAGATGAACTGAGAGAAAAATCATTCTTCGGCGTATCACAGCTAAAAGTAAAAACACAAAGATAAAAAACAAATAAAAAAATTTAAAAAAAGACAGAAAAATAGCACATTTAGCGAACAATAAAGTCAGCACGCTGATTTTTCATCAAAAGAAGCCAGAAAAGTATAGACTGACATCTTTAAAATGCTAAAAGGAAAAAAAAAAAAAAAATCTAGACACTTACATCCAATGAAAATACACTAGTAGAATGAAGTAAAATACCAACAGGCATGATGATACATGGCTACAATCCAGGCTCTCAGGAGGCCGAGGCAAGAGGACCACTGTGAGTTCCAGGTCAGCCTATGCTACAAAGTTAGTTCAAGGCCAGCCTGAACTACTTAGAGAAACCCTGTTTCAAAAAGCTGAAAACAAAAACAGATACAAAGACATCAAAGAGAACAAGTCTTTGGCAGACCTGAACTGAATGACACCAAATGGAAAGTTAGGTATTTAGGAGAAAGTGAGCAGCAACAAAAAATTTAGTACCTGTTTTAGTTTCAAAAAGAAATTTTCAGTAGTGCTACGTTTGCTGAAGGGCCAGAATAATCTTTCATTAGGGGAGCAAACTCGAACTTTTGTCTCTAGGAGGAAACGAACAGGTTCTTGGACTTCTGTTATTACCAAATCAACAGCTGTGGTCATAAACAGCACTTTATCTAGAGAGGAATGAGAAAGAAATAAAAAAAGATGAGAATACATTTGTTTATGTGATTAATGTAAAAGAAAGTACTGTTACTACAAACTTTCAAAATACTTTAAGGCCAATTATTAATTAAATAAACATCTAAAAATTGACAAATCACTGTTTTGAAATTTTTTCTGTAATGAGAATCCATTTTTTGGGTAGACTCCCAGATGTTCAATTAGTAATGATAGCTAGATACACATTAAAATTTAAGAAATTCATTGGTATTGTTTTGTGAAAGTGTCTCATGGCTCTTTTACATTAACTTCATTAATGACAGAAATTGTCAGTTTTTCATTTTAGCTAATGATAGTATCTTACAATTTAGAACTAGTTATCTCCCATATCAATTTATCTGAATCGCTATCAATGACACGAAAAACTGAAGGGGAAATACTGCTCAATAAGAGGTATCCACTGAACAAATTATATTTTCAGGATAGCCTACTATCCTGTTATTAAAGGTTGCTCAAGAAGAGTATAAAATTTCTTGGAAGTATTTATGCTAGAGTATGTGATAAACTTTACAAAAGTGGTTACATTTTAAGTCTCTTTGGGTGGATGGAGCTAAAACTTTTTTGTCTTTTTCGTTTTTATCGGTACCATGGATCGAACTCACGACTGCCTGCTTGTAAGGCAGGCGCTTATGCCGCTGAGCTAAACCTCCAGCCCCCGAGCTAAAACTTTTTTATATACTCTAAACTTTTAGATGTGTTTGGATTACCTCCACAAAAACAAATACAATTCAATGTATGTAAATAAATAAGTTCATAAATACAAAAGAAAAAGCAGGGGGAAAGTGAAAAATGAAAATAGTTAAGCAGTGGAAAATGGGCAAAAAATGGTGTTTCATTTATAGGTTGAATTTAATAAAGTTAAGAATTATTAAAATTCTTTGTTTCACCAGAATTAGGTAAATACTGAAAGACTGGTCAAACAAGTGGTCCTACGTTTGGGTATCTTCTTTTATTAAAGTTCTGTTTATGGCAGCAATCTGCATCACCTTTAGGAGTTTCTTCATTTACAACTTGAAAATGTGGGGATTTTGGATTCCAGCTTCCAGTAATAACGTAGGACTTTCCATCAGAACTTTTGCCCATAGACTCCTAAGGAAACAATAAAAATAAACTTTAATGTGAAGTGGGTAATAACAACCAAGCTTTGTTTTGCTGCTTTCGAAAAATAAGAAATGCAAAAATATATATGAAAGAGGATCAGATTTAAATTTGTGTGAATGACTACACTTAAGATTAAAGATATGTTGATTACACATTTGTTCCTCAAAAGTTGTATGTGAAGTAAATGCTTAAAAACATATTAAACTGAACAGGGGAATTCATTATTTTAACCTATGTTGAATTCTTTTACCAAGTGAGTAATCACCATGTAATTTTTGTTTTGAAAATTATTATTACTTATAGCAATCCTAATACTTCTTGCTATCTGCTAAGCACATGACAATTTGGAAAGATTTCTCTAATAAAAAATTTTTCAATTCTCGCATCAATTTGACAGATAAGAATTATTATTACCATTACAGAGTTAAGAAATCAAGATTGAGATTGGAAATACTATGTTAGGAATAAGGATACTACCTTATCTTGGTGTACTGCTTGTAGCTTACAAAGAACACCTTCCTAAACCTACTTGAACATTTACTAAGTAAACGACCTTTGAAAAAAAAAGGGCCTTACCAAATCTAACAAGTGCATATCACTATTCCGTACATCTTTTCCTGGGCTAAGGAGAAGACCAAAACACCTGCAAAAAAAGAACTTATATAAATTTGAGGAAAAGAGGTAACATATATAAAATATGTTTAAATTAAGTTATAACATCTCATGGATAGTTAGAATTATCTTAGAATTATGATTAGAAATATCTAATAAAAATTTCTAATTAGAAATATCTTAGAATTAGCAATAAATTATGGGTATCAAAATGATAATTGTGGGTCAGGAATACAGTTCAGTGGTACGGTGCATGCCTGGCAAATGTAAGGTCCTGAGTTCGATTCCTAGTACCAAAAATAAAAAAATAAAAAAAAAAACCCAAACCAGTTACTTCTTTAATTAAGATAAGCAAATTCTGTTTTCTTTTTATTGCCACATAATTAAGATTAACACATTAGCTGAAGATTTATGACAGCTATTTCAAAAGAAATGAAGCATTAACTTCAATAAACAAAATTCCCTAGACTAGAGATACTTTGAAATATATTTTAATACAGTAGGCAATAGCTCCATTAGATGGACTAAAAACAAAATTTCTATTCAAGCTAAATTTAGCTAAACTTAGGTAAGCTAAACTTGCTTACCTTTCAATGGCAAGTTCTTTATTAGTTGTTTGTTGCACATAAATGACAATCTTCTTATCAATTCCTTGGCGTAGTTTAAAGCATTGTTTGTCTTTGTCTTTTGGAACAGCACTACAAAACAACATATTTCATTACTTTGCAAATTTTTATTTTCTTGCCACACACTTGAACAATGTATTAAATAAATAAAGACCTTGAATCTTTGATCCTTTTCTATGCCTGGTTCTCAGATAATAACAAAAAAGTAAAAAATTGTCTTTTAAAGTGGAGATATCATTATCACTATAGATAATCCACTAAATTACATATAAAACCTACTCATGTCTCCTAATATACGATTTTAGTTTTATTTTCTTTTGTTGCTGTGGAAATTAGTTGCAAAGTATACTGCATGGTATCTGTTATCCAGGAATAAAAAACAAATAAAAAGTGACTTTCTTTCCTTTATGTATGGTCATTCATTTTTATAAATGAATTATTACTGCTTTATTTTTAAAAAATATGTAATGTAAAAGATAATTTTTGATTCTGAGTTTCAAAAAAGTTGCCTTTTAAAAACTAAGAGAAAAAGAAAATATGGACAATGATAAGATAGCTGCTGCCTAATAATTCCCTTCAGTAATATACCTTATTCTAAGTCCCTATAATCATTAAAATAATACTGAGTCAATTAAGTATCAGCTTAATAAAACATTAACAATAGTCCCAAAAAAGCTCTAGTCTCCCACACAGTACTTTCTTTAGCTCCTTTTGTTCTCCAGATGAACACTTGTCTGTGGCATCAGTCAATATGCAAAAGGTCTAAATTATATCTTATTTCTACACAAAATTAACATAATTGTAAAGAGAACCTAAGTAGATAAAGTAAGTGGCCAGGGGCTGGAGATTTGGCTCAGCGGCATAAGCGGCTGCCTGGCAAATGGGAGGTTGTGAGTTCATCCCTGGTACCAAAAGAAAAAAAAAGTGGCCAGATGAAACCTCTAAATATCTACTCAAACTAAAAGTGGTTCTGAAAAGTAAAACTATCTGAAACCAATTCAAGAGCATTTTATAACATTTATATTACAAAATCAAAGAATTTTAGCAATCTAGAAATGACAAACATGTTTAAAGAAAATTTTTGCATACCAAACTCTTAAATATTTGTGGCTGACAGAAATTTCACCTATAAGGAGATAAGACAGGTCTCAATTTTCAATTGTCAGTAGATAACACTGGTCTCTATGTTCTGTGGATGCTGAAGTATAAGTAAATATAATCTCATCTCTCAGCAATTTAAAACAGCATATATCAAGTTGTCTCTGGTGCCATGAATCTAAAAGGGCTGCATTAACAGGAAGTAGAGTGGAAAGCACAATCAGTGAGAGTTCACCTCACTGAATGTTAGGGGCCTAAATTATATTTCTGGTCCTAGCACGCCACTGAATAGATCTCAACAGAGAATATAACATGTAATTGAATAAATTAGGAAACTAAGGCCTAGGCTTAATTTCCTTGGCAAGCAAAATATCAACTCAATTTATCTCAGGGGATTGTGCAATGGATTAAATAAGAGAAAAAAGAAAAGAGAAAGAGGAAAGAGAAAAAAGGAAGAAGGGAGGAAGGAAGGAAGGAAGGAAGGAAGGAAGGAAGGAAGGAAAGAAAAAAGGGAGAAAAGAGAAGGGAGGGAAGGAAGAAGGAAACAAAGAAAGAAAAGGTTTGAGTAGTATAAATAAAATGTTCCATTTCCCTAAGGGCTATATTAAGAAACTGCTTTCTAGCTGGAATAAAGTAAAATTATTCTTTTTTAGGAATGGAAAAAGAACATTAATTTCTTCCACCGCACCTTGTCTATATTTACATAAGGGTAAAACCTGACAATTAAGTGTTGTACTATGGTGCACTACATTATATATATCTGTTGAATAGATGATAATCATATGGGTATACTACATTCTAACTATTCTATTAAATATTTAATTTCTACTTTTTAATTTTGCTACTATACTATACTTAGTATTAAAGGGAATGAGTGGCTTATTTAGGGTCACATCAAGGAATATTTGTGAGATAAATTCTGAAACATATTACAGAATTACTGGATAATGCATTAGGCAAATTCAAATCTGACAAAAGATCCTTTACAATGATTTTATCACTAGATTGGGAAATGAAACAACAATGGTGTTTAAATTGCAAATTCAGCAGCAAAGAAAACAAAGCTCTTAACAAATGTGAAAAGCAAATCTGACTACCTAGGGATAGTCTGGAATATCACCTTACTATGAGAGTAAATGGAACAGGGTTGTCTGTGCTCATTTTACTGTGATAGCTTGATGTTACAAAGAAGTCCTGCTTTGTGCCTCTCTACTGAGACAACTTTACCTTTTCTATTCATAACTGGAATTTACATATAAGAACTACATAAACATCTTCAATAAAGGGAAAATAGACAGTTTAAAGTAACGTGTTTCTTTTCTTTTTTTTTTGAGACAGGGTTTCATTGTGCAGTCCAGGCTGGCCTTGAACTCACTTTATAGCCCAGACTGGTCTGGAACTTGTAACAACCCTCCTCCCTTAGCCTCCTATGTGCTGGGATTATAGTCATGTATTACCAAGCCCAGCTAAAAGTAACTTGTTTCTTAAAAAAGAAAAAAATATTAGAAATCTGATACATTATAATTTCCTTTTTCAGGGAAGAAATACAAACTGTAGGAAAAACTATCTCACAGTGTTGTTTTGAGAATAAAACTGTAGCTAATGAGAAAGCATAATGCCTAATATATAGTACACTTCAGTCCTCAAATCAAAGTTGAAGTTTCACCATACCCTAAATTGACCACCAGATGGCATGACAACACCAAGGTCTGAAGAAAGATCAAACTATCACTTTTTCCTAAAGAAGGAACCAAGCATTGTGTTAATATGAAAGCAATTATTAAAAACTATTCATATTTCTGTATAATTTCATTTAGCACATTTCATGATGTAGTTATGAAGAAACTTGTATAAGCAACTTGATTATGATCCTAAAAAGCATTCATTTTGTGATATGATTCATGTAAAAAAAAATTAATGACTGAAAAAAAATCAGTCATCTTACAGAGAATTTAGAGTTTTACCATCTTCTTCTTCTTCTTTTTTTTTTCTGTACCTGGGATGGAACTCATAGCCTCACACTTAGTAGGCAAGTGCTTGAGTGGCTGAGCTAAATCTCCGGCCTTGCCATCTGATTTAATAAGTAAGGAAACTACTACCTGGAGATTTAAAGAAACTTGGCAATGGTTATATTGTTAATAATAGCAATAATTAAACTAATGTTTTTATTTTTTATTCTAGAATTCCTCCTACCACTCTGACAATTGTCACTGTACTTAAAAACTAAAATGCTTATTTCTAACTCTGTGTAGGTTAGACTTCAGACAAAGCATTCATTTCTCTTCTTCCTATGTGTTCAGATAAACATTAATGGTAAAAACTTGATTTTAAAGACTTAAATTCTTCAGGTAAAACAGTACACCAACCAAACTAAACAAATAAAGCATAATAGATCTAGTTTTTTATTATTTCCCATTCATTCATTCATTTGGTTTTTCATGTAAGAGAAAAACATGTGATATTTAACTTTCTGCATCTGGCTTATTTCATTTAGCAGGATGGTCTGGCATTCTATTCTCTTCCTGCAAATGACAGGATTTCATTTTGCTTATGTCTTTTATAATTCATATCAGTCAGCCAGCTACTTTTAGCTTAATTAAAATAAGGTAGTAAGATGTTTCCCACATGATGAATTTATTGCTCTGAAATTCAAACCTGCTTCTATAAATCTGCTTTTTTAAAAAAAATGTTAAATGATAAATTTCAAAAACTTCCTACAAAAGCAATCATTTTTGAAGTGAAAGGTATATATAATCTGACCCAAACTTTGCCTTGAGTGATAGGTAATTATAGCATGCTGATATAAACTCAAGAAAATGAATAAAATAAATTGCCCTACCTAAAATAACCTTTACCATCATCTTCTTTTATTTCTAAAGATACAGAGAAGGTAAAGATGTCACTGTCGGGAGTCTGCGGTGCAGCAGTGGCTGAAAGTGGGGTCTGCTTGGCAGAACGGCGGAAAGCAGTGGCAAAACTGTAAAGTATCCGGCTTACCTACAACCAGACATGTCAGGAAATGGGCTGTTATCAGAAGACATAAAATACTATTAAAGCTGAAAAGCTTCCTACCGTTGAGGGGTAATCATCTTTCCATTACTTATTTCTTTAGGTAACTTATTTGTTAGGCCTTTAAAGAAAGTACTAAAAACCACCAAAGAGAGTTTTAAAAAAAAAAAAGAAATAAATGGTTATAAACACTAGGAATTTAACTGAAAAATTACTTCCTACAAAGGTTAAAATTACTTCCTACAAAGGTTAAAAATGATATTAAATATTACAAAAAAAAAAAACTGTCCTAACAAGATTGGGTCTAAAAGAGTGGCTTGCAAATATGTCATTGTTGGAACCAATAATGAAGGCGCCAATAGGTCACCTCTGACACACTTAGCAATTACAGTGGAAGCACTGGTGAAGTTTCATGTGTAGACGTTTTCTCTTAAGGACTTACAGCTTCTTGTATTTCACAGCGAAAGACATGTATTCTGAAGAGCTCGGCATTGTAATGACTTTCAGTGAAAGCAAAACAGTCGCTCTCAGGTGTTCCATCATGCCCTCTGACACAGAAGAGGATTTTGTAGATAGGGTAGTTCGCTATTTCAGTATTCGTCTGAGGATCTAACAGTCTATGAAAAAAATAAATTAATTAATTAAAGGAAGTATGACAATTTGTGCTACTTTCCTATCAGAATTTGAGACAATCTTTGTGGCAAAATGACCATATGGAACCACTTTTGGTATGCTAACCATATTATTCTTAAATTTTAATAAATATGTGAATTATCAAAATTATTGACTATATAATTTCATGTCAATAAAAAGTATGTATTCTCATGTTTGGTGAGTTTATGATATCCACAACATCCTTTATCTGTTCACAGCACTGAGCATACAACAATGCGAAGTCAACATTGTAGGGCAGAGTCATTGATGGGGAAAGCACAGAGGTCCTGTTCATGAGTACCTAGGAAGAAGATGTAAGTCAGGCTTAAAGGTCTTTCACAAATGCCCTGAAAACATGGGACAAGACAGATTATTTTCTCATTTTTCTCTTGTTTTCCACCTTACATTCTCAGTCCTTTCTCAAAATTACATTTTGAGATATGATTTTTTTTTCTTTTAAGAGACAGAGTCTAGCTATGTAGTTCAGGCTGGCCTTGAACTCACATCAATCCTTCTGCCTCAGCCTCATGAGTGCTCGAATTACAGTGTGAACTACCATATCTGGCTTGAGATAGGATCTTGGGAGATTGCTGAGGCTAGCCTCAACCGTGGATCCTTTTGTAATTGCACTGGTGTTACAAAAATGTTGATTCTAAGAATTCTATAACTATACATTCGTACTTATGTAGATTTAGATGTACACACTCTCTTCATAAACCAAGATGTTAAATATATTTTATCAATGGGAAAATAAAATTAAGGGTAGTCTTTTCAGGTCGGGGTTGTGCTTTAAGTTAACCTCACAACTTGTGATTCTCCTACTTTAGATTCTTAAATGCTGGGATTGTACAGGCATGTACCATGTTGTTCACCTTTAATGGTTTTTGTTTTGCTGTTTTGTGCTTTTTCTGAAACACACATATACTTTCAGTAATGGGGAAAGATTTTTATTTTAGCTGTTCTCAATGCATTATTTAGCAATTCTATGCTTAGCTGGCTGACAATAGATATCTTATTTGGCCATCTTTGTTATTTCTTCTAGTTAATATAAACAGTAACCATTTCTAGAAGCTTACTTCGGCCTCAGTAACCTCATTTTGAAAACAGGTTCTGTACTGGAATAGTATTTATCTATACATTTTTTAATTTCTAAAATAAGCACAAAATTCTGTTTTTAAAAAATGCATCATATTATTATTTTTACTGAGGAAACATGGAAAGTATAAATTAATTTGTTAGAGTCTCATGATCAAAGTTCTTCAAATATCTTCAAAGTATTTAAATCTTTAATGCACTACACAAGAATTGGGTGAGGAGTGTATACAAAAATGAGTGTCCATTTTTTACACGGGTCACAATTCTTGAAAGAGATAACAAAAATAAACATTATATGAATAAAATAATTTAAATATTTTATTCACTACTGCATCCTTCTGAAACAGATCAGAGTCATTACTACAAAAATTTCAAGAGGCTGGTCTCACCTCACAGTGCCCTCAGACACATTGGGCACAGACAGGGTCACATCCAGTGAAATCTGACACTGGCTTCTTAAAATGGACATCATCCTCAAGGCCTCCACTTCACTCCTGGGGGCATTCACTGAGGCACAGCCTAAGTAAGTCAGTTTACTGAAAACCACGCTGTCCTCCTCAGCCACAGGTGTAAAAGGACTTGACACTTCTGAGTCTAAAAAAGATAAAATGATTATTTTTATTTTGACACATTACTGATATAAATAGCAAGTAAAAGCCTAACGGTAACATATAGGTTCTAAAATTGTTTTAATGAGATACCATGGCGCATCCCTGAAGAAATGCCCATGGAAGCCAGATGGCTCAAGTGAGAAATGTAATACCAAGATTTTTAGATTTTGCTATTGAGAGTCAATCCCAAACCCAGAAGTTGTCCTGCAATTCAAATATGATTACTTTTTTGCTACTTCAAATCTGTTTTAATTCTGTACTTTAAGTCAAATATAAATGTAGTATTTTACCATTTTGAAAAACTCTCTGATTTGTCTCCTTTCTGATCTATGGTGCTGTGATTTTGTTTCACTCATCATCCTATATCCATTTTACTATATTCTCTTAATCTTGCTTTAACTTTCCCCAAAATACATTCTTTTCCTCCTTTTTTGCTATTGTCCTACACCTACTTTTCCAACTGGGTAACTATTCCAATAGAGTTACACAAGTCTGGAGCAAATATTATTCATCAAGGATCATTCCTCTATTTTGGCAACATTGTACAAAAATTCCTCCTTTCCTGGGGGAAAAACCATTAAATACAGTACTCTGGAAAAGAGTCCTGTAGTGTTACTTACTATTTTCTTTCTTCAGTATAACTGAAATACATTTAAAGGGTAATGGGAATATAGTGTATATATCTTTAAAATCTCCCTAGAACTAGAGTTTGGAGATTCTAAAGAATTTTTTCCCCCTCTTTATCAAATCTAGTACAGGGCAGACACTCAAATATTAAAAACAATAACCTTTAGTTATGTAAGCAATGCAGCAATCCTAACCTCCTTCTCCAGGTTTCACTGGCAGACTCATCTCTGGTTTTTGGATCCCTACTAATAGAACGGGGTTAATGGTGGATGAGGCTGAGAGTTGATTAGAAAGAGGCCCATCTCCTTCACCATCCAGTTGTGACCTTTCCACAGGTTCCTTGTCTCCTGGCTGGTCATCCATGGGAGGATCCATCAGCACGTCTGCTAGCTCTTTTTGCAGCTGCTGTTCACTTCCATTTCCTACAATCTAAGGGTTACAAACACACGTAATCAACAAAATGAGAGGGCAGTACTGATTAAAATGGGTCTATATGCTAAAGAAAATTATTGAGACTTCCGGGAGAACATGGCGGACAGATAACAGCAACTACCGGAGGCTCTCTGAAAAACTAGGCTCAGAAGCCAGGTATGGTGAGGACTAAAGAGACATAAGCAGGTGGAGTTATGCTCTGCTGACTCAGGAATGAACTCGGCTGAGAGAAACCAACTTGGAATGCAGTCCTGGTGCTAAAACAGGAACAGAAAAGCCGCGCCGCTGAGGCTGGACCCCGCACCTTTGGAAGCTGCGATTTGGGTTTCCCGCTGCGCGGTGGCTGGCTGCCTCTACATCGGCTCGGCAAGGAGAGAGACGCACGGAAACTCTGAGAACGGGAGTCTGCGAACGGAGTCGAAAACAGGGCGAGCAGGGAGGCATGTTCTGACTTGTGGTGAGGTGAGTGAGAGACACTGACACTCCACCAGTTTGACTCCAGCGGACTTTCTGGGCCCGAGCAGTCCTGCGGGAGCAGGGCGTGGTGGCGACTCCAGCCACACATTCCCCTCTCGGGCGGGATTGGTGAAAAGTGCCTGGCCTGCGTGATGCTGCCGGCAGACCCCGTAGGCTGGCCCAACCCAGATCACAGAGCCCGACAGAGGCCGGGAAGGGCGGGCCCCGCGTAGGCTGCCTGGTGCGCAGCGGTGAGTGGGAACACCTAACCGGCGCAATTTGATCAGGCTGTGGCTGACAGGGAGAGAAGCTGGGCCTCTCATATAAGCTTGCATATATAAGGAACAGAGAATATGGGAAGAGGCAGCAACAAGAAAGGCTCCTCTGCCCCCAATTCTGAGAAACAGGCAATAGCGGACACCGCACCAATAGACATAAAGCGCCATATAGAGAGCCTCATAGACCAATTCAGGAATGAAGTTATCAACGACCTGAAGCTAGAAGTATGCAAAATAGTTAGAGAAATGCTAAGCACCACCCAAGAAAAAACAGATGGTGGAATGGAAGAACAGAAAAAGAGGGGAGAATTGTTTGATGGAGAAAACAGGGAAAGCATAGAATACATGAAGCAGGTTCAAAGGGACTACCAAGAAACTAAGAAGGCTATCGAAGACTGGCATAACAGCTTGAAAGAAACTAAGGACAGACTATCTGAACTGGAGGGCAGAATTATAATATGGGAGAATGAAATGAAAAACTTCTTAAAAATAACAAAGAAACAAACAGCAATAATACAAAGACAAGAAGATGATAAGAGGATCCATAACTTAAGGATTAAGAACATAAAAGAAGAAGTAGGGACACAAACAAATGAACTACAAAAGCTACTCACAGAAATAATCCAGGAGAATTTTCCTAATTTAGCAAAAGGTAAAGATACTCAGATGTATGAGGCATACAGGACCCCAGCTACCTACAACCCAAACAGAGCAACACCCAGGCATATAATAATAAAAATTCCAGAAATTCAATACAAGAACAGAATATTAAAAGCTGTCAGAGACAAGAAACAGACCACTTACAAGGGAGTACCCATCAGAATTACAGCAGATTTCTCTGCACAAACCATCAAATCACGAAGAGCGTGGGGGGAAATAATTCAAGCTTTGAAAGATAATAATCTCCAGCCAAGATTGAGATATCCTGCACAACTGTCCCTAGAAATTGATGGAAAAACAAGGTGCTTCCAGGATAAAGAGGAACTGGGGGAATTTGCAACCACCAATTTAACTCTACAGAGAGTATTGCAGGATATTCTAAAAAAAGAAAAATACAAAGAATCCAGAAATAGTGGAGGCCACAACGAATGGAGCAGAGAACAAAGTGAAGAAGACAAACTGACAGCTACTGACAGAATAAGAGCTCAACAGAAATGAGGCAGAGAAGATTGGATGATAGGAACAGCTATTTTGGAGAAAATGACATCTTAATAGGTAATACTGATTTAGTATCATCTTGTTTTGAAGTCTCATCTAGCTTTTGTCCTTCTGTCTCCAATGGTCCAAATAGGTTGTATCTTACTGGATTTTATTATGTACGATAGTATAAGCAAAAACCTTTTAAAGACAAGGAGATTATACAGAAACCATTGTTCATTTTCTGTTAGCCGATTCTAAATACTCTGTAATGCTGTCATTCTCTTAAATGGTTTTACATTGTTTTGATATACTTAATGCTACAGTATACGAAGTTGTACTCAAGGATTTCAAGGAAAGAGACAATATGGTAACTACTTTTAGGTCAGGATTATCTGGTGGTGATAATCTGCTTAAATGGTTATGTTTTGATCTGTGCTGTTTCGTTGTTATGCCCTCTTTTATCTCAATCTCCACTCCATTATTTACTTTTTTATTTTTATCCTTTTAATTAAAGGAAAAAAAATAGCAGGATATATTATAGTAACCCACTTTGACTTTCCATTACCTCGATTTAAAGCCCTGTATTACTCTCACCATCTGGTTTTTAACTGATGTTCCCCTATTCTGTTTTGCTGGATAGTATCAGGTTCAAACATTTAGGCATCAGCTGTGAAGATAATGAGATTCATTATAACGCCCATTCTCGTTGACTTTTATCTACTTTTGAAGACCTACAATGTCTCCGATGTTTTGGTTTTTTCGGTTTTATTCTTTACTGTTTTGTTCAATTGTATTATAACTAACGATATAGGCAATTCTATTAGAGATAGCAGGAGGCATTATGGTAACCATTGTTGATCACCTTGTATTATGTTTTCACATTATCTATTATGTCCACCCTTTTGACTTGACCAATTCTGTTCTGTTATGTCACATTTGGTTTTACTCTCTTCCAAAAAAGTAATAAGAACCGTGGGAGCAATGAAACCCAAAATGTGTAATAGTCATTGTACAAAAGAGAGGAAAAGAAAGTGCTCTAAACTATATAACTGCATGTATATTTAAGTGTATAAGATAGAAAATGATATCACAGAGTTTTATTGGATCATTGAACAGAACTGTTTGCAGTATCAGTGATGGAATGTCCACTTTACAAGCTTTAATTTTGTGACTTGAACAATTATTTCTAAGATGACAATATGTAATCCATTAACTAGTGATTTCCTACTGTTCATTTTTTTTCTGCAAATCTGTATAACTTGTACCCTTTCTCTGCTTTTTTTTTCTTTTCTCCTTAAATAAAATTTAAAAAAAAAAAAGAAAATTATTACTAGCTTCTTTTGATACAAAAATATCTTCTGAATGTTTGGAAAAACTGAAATAAATCAAGATCTGCAATGAATAAAGGCTACAGCTACACTTTTTTTTTTTTTTTTGTCTTTTTCCTTTTTATCGGTACCGGGGATCGAACTCACGACTGCCTGCTTGCAAGGCAGGCACTTATGCTGCTGAACTAAACCTCCAGCCCCTACAGCTACACTCTTAATTCAAAGTTCATGAAAAAATAAATAGCAAATCTGAGACTAATACCCAGGAATACATGTAGCCTGCCAATGTTGTAATGTTTTCTATAGTGTCTCCAACAATTAAAATATTTATAATTTTGTCTGATGAGAAATAATGCTCTTAAGAGGAAAGTCTTTAGTGGCTTTTCATACACTTAAGAAAAAGGAAAAATGTGCTCACTTCCAAAAGTTATCAATAGAAAAACACCTAGTAGGTAATACATTTCCACATATGGTCCTACTGTAAGTAGGTGTTCTGTATTCCTGAGGAAGAGCTCTCTGATATAAAGAGGTTCTTGCCCAGTTTGGTGGTGCACACCTGTAATCTCAACACTCTGGAGACTGAGGTGTGAAGATCACCAAGAGTCTAATGCAAGCCTGTGTTACAGTGAGTTCAAAGCCAGTCTTAATTACACAGCAAGACTATGTCTCAAATAAATTAATTAAGAGGTTCTTAAGTGCTGAGATGCATGAATAAAGTACAGGAGATGAGTGCATAAAAGTACTACAGAATAAAAGCACTGCACCCACATTCAAATAACATCAAATATTTCCAAGGAGTCATAACAGTTTTTTATTGGTTGACTCAGCAAAGAAGTAAACGAGTACAAACTCAAGTAGACTGCCCAAGGCTAACAAAAAACAATGACAAGACCCAATATTTTCATTAAATACTTATTCAAGAATTACTAGAAAAATTAACAAAAACATTAATGTAGCCAAAGGAAATCATCAAGAAAGAAAGCAAAGGCTGATTTAGGAGGTTTTCTGAAAACTAACACCTTACAAAAAGTTAAAATAGTTGGGGGTGTGGGACTGTTAAAAGAGAATCAGGCAACCCATTTACCTTTTTATGCATTTACCCATTAGTAAAACGAACAGATTAGAAAGCAGAATTCCAGTAACAGAGGTACTCTGGGCTACCAGAGAGCCTAGTTCACAGTCTTTTATTGTCTTGAGCTTTGCATCTCTACAAACTTCAAGTTTCCTGGACTGCAAATTCTGACTGAGAAACAGTGTCAAGTCTTTTTTGCTGACATTTTCCCAAGAAAATCCTAACACTTTAATTACTCTTGCTGTGGAAATAAAGGCCTCTTGGCTTCAATGACAACTTGTTTCTGTGAACTTCATTTTATGTTGGGAGTTATTGTTAGTGGAACTACAAGTGGGTCAAGTAGTTTTAACTCTTTGTTAAACTTATTCTACACAACTGAAAGTACTATAAAGTTTTTTCTTCCAGAAGTTCTGCTTTTAAAAGTTTGTTGTTTTGGTAGTTTTTTGCTTTTCTCCTTGGTAAACCTCCTTCTACACAGGCAAAAGTGTTTTGTTTTGTTTTGTTTTGTTTTGAGAAGGTCTGCTTTAAAATTTTTATGTTGGTTTGGTTTGGTAGCATTTTAGTTTACTTCAGTTTTATTTTTTGTAAAAAATTTTTTTTAAATTTTGAGACAGGGTCTTGCTCAGTCACTAGATTGCCCAGGCTGGCCTCAAACTTAAGATACCCCTGCTGTGGCCTCTCAAGAGTACTAGAATTCTGGTTATGTGTCACATATTAAAACTT